GGCCCACCCACAGTGCCCTCTGGTGGTCACTCGTCTGCTTCCTTGTCTATGTCCTTGCCCCTTGAAAGTCACAGGGGATTGACCCTAGGACTCCTGTGGATGCAGAAATCCATCAATGCTCAAGTCCCTTAAATAAAACAGCTTGGACTTTGCACAAAACCTATGCATATCTCCCTGTATGCTTTACATCATCTTGACCTTGCTGATAATGCCAAATGCAATGCAATGTTCTGTAAGTAGTTGTTTTACTGTATTATTTAGGGAACAATGGCAAGAAAAAAGTCTATATGTTCAGTACAGATGCACTTTTTTTCCTCCAATATTGTCAGCCCTTGGTTGGTTAAATCCACAAATCAGGACCCATTATATCCAGTGTTATCTGGTATGTGTTCTTACGTCGGTTCCAGCCCGTCCTCTACTTTCTGCATTTTCTATGCAGTATTTAATCTCTCACAAGTTCTGTTTCAGCAAAATGCTTATCAAGAAAAAAGAAATGAGTGTTGGAAGGGGAACTCACAGACTGAGAAGCTTAAAAGCGATCTCACCCATTTACAGTGTGTTCGCCTTACTTTGGTCCTGTTCCACACAAGCAGCCTGCAAATAACAGCAAAAACAACAGCAACAACCCAAAGCCTCAAACTTAAGCCATTTATGAAACGGTTGGATGTTTGAACACTTAACAGACATTGGAGTGTAAGAAAGAAACCACTGGTAATTATTTTAGCTGTCATGAAAGTATCATAGTTGTGGTTTCAAAGAGTCCTTGCTCTTAGAGAAACACACTGAAATATCTGCAGATAGCATGACACGCTTGAGGAAGCTCACCAGGGAGGGTACAGACATTTGCGACCCTGAGTGGTCAGTGCTCCGAACAGTGATGAGTATCTGGGAGTTAATGATTTTATTTGGCTCATCTCTGCGTTCACAGGCTCTGTACTAAACAAGTGTGAAGATCCTACAAGGCTCCCCGGGTGGTTGGGGGCTCATCTTAATGAGGTGCCTTTGCCAGGGTGCAGGGCAGGGCTGCTGTCGTAGCTGGGGGTAAATATGGAGGCTCATCAAGCAGAAAGGCTGTGGCGAGGGCAGCCTGGCAGTGGGCCCGGCGCTGTGTGGCTGCCAGCCCGCCCTGGGCCCGTTTGTCCTCTATAAATAACCATCTATATGAATGCTTCACTATTTTAGCGCACGCTTGCGGCAGCTGCCCAAGTTGTCTGTTTACGTAGCTACGAAACCTTCTGTAAACAGCACTATCTCAAAATTGCCCATGTGTCAGGCGCGGGCCCCCTGCAAAAATATATTTGCAGATGAGACTCGGCCGGCTCCTGGGTGCCTTGGTGGCGGGTGTCAGAATTTTCCAGGGTTTGATTCATTTTCAAAAATAGAATCACATGACAGGAAGGTTTTTGGGAGGTCGCCGCAAACAATCCTCTGACCTTAGGCAGGGCCGGGATGAAGCCATCTCTAGCGTGTGATCTGTCCTAGAAGGGTGTCAGTCTGTCTTCTACGAGATTCCTTAGGATGGCAAGGGGGTGGGTAAGCGCTGGCTTATCTTACTGAGATGCTGCTGGCATGGGAATACAAGGCACCCACAGAGCATCTGCCGGCTGGTACTGCACCCCACCCACAAGGTCATCCCACTGCAGGACAGCCCGGGTCTCCAGGAGACCCCACACTGAGCCCGTCTTGTGCCTACAGGGTGAGTGTATGGAGCCCGGGATGCAGCAGGGGCTCAGGGCGGAAGAGGCCCTCTGATCTCTAGAGCACCCCACAAGCCATTTAAGGTCAACCGAGACATTTGGGGAAGAAGACCAGGGTGGTGGAAGCTGTTTCAGTGTCAGTTTGCCGGTCTCAAGGTTCTGATTTCCAGTCCAGCACTGAAGGGCTACGTCTTTGTGAATTTGTTTCCCTGCCATGTGCGTTTGGTTCGCATGGTTTTCCCTCCAGTTTTGATACATTAAGCTTTTTTTCTTCCCCTTTCCTAAGAGCCCAAGTAAGGCCCATAAATCCTAGTAGTATAGAATGGAATCCTAGTTTCATTCACAAAGAAAAAGAGTCAGTTGCAGTTTAAGAGATCAGCTCTGCTAGAGGCCCTGAACTTCAGGAATCTCAGGGGGAAGGAACAGCTGGCCCCAGACACCCTGGGGTCCCAGGCCCCAGGCCCCAGGGAATATGGTCCCTGGAACATGCACTTCCATTTAGGAATTAGAAAGCTTTTTGATTCCTCTCCCTAAATAAAATCAATAGTGGTGGCCTATTCCACGGGGCTGGGGTCAGAGCTTTGATGCTTTTTGCTGATCAAGGACCAGTTTCCTCTAAAGAAGCTGAGGAAAAGTCGGCAAATGCTTGGAGACAAGAATCCCTGCTCATTACCAAGGAAACATTGCTTCCCACTCTGCACAATTCGCTCATTCCACGCTGTCATGGGGGAGACGGGGCCACTCTAGGGAGAGTTCCGACTGGGGGCGTCCCCAAGGTGCTTTGCTAACCCCAGATACACTGATTTTTGGAGACAGGGCTTTGGCTGGAGGGAGCGCCGAAAGCTCTGGGTGTGAGATTTGCAGCTGCAATCCTACCGGAGCCTGCTCCTCCAGGATCTTCCCAGTCTGGGCACAGGGTCGAGAGCTCCACACTGGCCTCTCTGGGTCCTACTGGGGCTTTGCAGGGTGGCTCTGACTTGAGAGTCTCATGGGGAATGGTTTGTGAACACTGCCGGAGGCTGCGTCTCCATGGACACCACTAGGGGGACCCAGAGTCCCTTGTGCTCAGCCCAGGCTGGAGAAGTTTCAGGGCTGTGAGCTCATGACGGCCTCCTATAGAAAGGAAGCCTCCCTCTCCCTGCTTTCTCTCCTCTACACAACTGCAACCCAAGATCAAGGTCCAAGCCACCCTGATAACACCAGCGGAACTTACTTAGTATTTTATAATAGTTATGGTTTGACATGCAGAAAGAAGCCTTTTAAAAACGGGGCCCACTGAGCCACGGTCTTACTCGCTAACACAGAAGGGAGCTATTGCTCTAGTCAGCTTCTCTTACACAGTTTTACACCCCGAGCACTCGCCACAGTGCTGGGTCTCAGTGGGTGTAAAATAAACATGCACTGGCCCCCAGTAGCCACAGTGGGTAGAGTCTGGAACTCCCTGACATACCCAAACCTAAAATGCCTGAGTCCCTGGTGCAAAATAACCCAGCACGCACCTGAGACCAACACATCCTCTCCTGTATATTTAAGATAGGTTCCTTAGAAAGCCTAATACAATGCAAATATTATGTAAACAGTTGTTTTGCATTGCTTAAGGAACAATGACAAGGAAAAAAGCCAGCAAATGTTCCACACAGACATATTTAAGAAATATTTGGGTCTGTGGGTGAGGGCTTTGGCTGGAGGGAGCACAGAAAGCTGGGGGCATGGACTTTGAAGCGGAGATCCCACCACAGCCTGCTCCTCCTGGTTCTGCCTGAGCTCGGCCACGGGGCCAAGGTCTGCACACTGGCCTTCCTGCGGCCTATGGGCGTTCTTCCAGGGAGGCTCTGATTTACGAGCCATGTGGGGAGCAGTTGGCGGCTGCCCACTCGTGGTTGGTGGAACCTGAAGATGTGGAATCCACGGGTACCCTCCCATGGTTCCAGAGGGCTGACTGTGTGTTGTGACCAGAGAAGACCAGGTTAGGTCCAAGTTGCTTTCATTCTGTGGAAAGCAAAGAACTCCCATCGTGAGCTCCTTGCCACCCTTTATTCTCATTTTTCAGAATTTGCTACATTTAAAAAACTTATTACAAAAATGTACAGTGCCATGAGAGAAGTTAGAGGTAGAGGTTGTGGCTTTGCCTTTTGCTATGGGGAGACAGAAGCATGGGACCAAGGACCAAGACGCAGCGTCGGCCTCTGGGTCGGCCTTGGAAGCATGGATTTTCGGGGGCTGTAAGTCAACTCAGAGCCTCAGGTTGAAGTCTTAAAAACACGGGAAAGATTGTGTAAAAAGGTGATGCCTGATGGTAATTCAGAAGTGCAGTAAAGGCATGAGTGAGCTGGAGTTCTGGTTGTGCTTTCCTGGGAGGAAAGCCTGAGTTAGCCTGAGTCACACTGTTGGCTCTGTTGTGCAGGGTCTTACAGATAAATATGGGCAGAACTTTCTTTGCTCTTGGAATGTGGGACACGTGTAAGGTTCAGATATGAGGGAAGACCTCAACAAAAGCAGACTGTTTCCTGCGTGCTGGAGCAGGTCAGGACCCTCCCAGCACACCCATACTGTGCCGTTAACAACAGAGCGGTCAACATGCGACCTTTAATATTTTTCTTTTCTGCTGGAATTTCATTTCAAGCCAGGGTCTCCCTATGTAATTCAGGCTGGCCTTGAACTCACTATGTAGACCAGGCTGGCCTTGAACTTGTGGTGATCCTCCTGCCGCAAGTGCTGGCATTACAGGCATATGCCATCACACCTGGATGTATTCTTAAAAAAATGAGTCTGCAAATAGTGTGCACAGAGAGACTGGGGTACCCAGTATAAAGAAGAACCAATGCTATATGTCTTACAAATGGCTCTCAAAGTTGCATTTTTATTAAAAGCAGTCTGTCAGGCTGTAAGGAAAGGTATAACTTCTTTATCTTGGCTTGGTGGTGGATAACCACAAGTACTTAAATTAGTAGTGTTTTAACAAGTGCTTTAAGGACAGATTGAAACTGTTGTTGTTGTTCTAGGGATTGAACTCATGACCTTGCATTTTCCAGGCAGGCACTTATGCCACTGAACTAAATCCCTCGCCTGCATTCTAATTTAAGCAAATATTTGGAAATTCAAAACATTTAAAGAGCTCTTTCCTATTGTTCATTCATTCCTTTTCTGAAGGCATCCTAAAAGCTCCACGGCTAGACTTCTTGGTGAATGGACTTCAGGTTGTAAGACACACAGACGCACCAATTTCGTATCATGGAGTAGGTGCACCCAACAGTTTAAAATGAGCATTTACCCCACAGATAACCCAGGACGACCCTGCCTTACCTGTGGCTTCCACCATTCCTTCTAAGATGACCACAATTTCCAGTTCCTCTTTGGGCAGCTGGGCTTTGGAGATTTCCCAGAAGGGACTCTGTTGGTTGATTTCGTGACTGATGATCAGCGGAGACACCAGAAACAGACGGTCGTCCCCCGTGTAGTAGCCCACGTTGATGTCTGTCTGGTTCAGAGGGATGAACTCCCCTTCTGAAGTCTGTTTGGATTTGATCAGCTTGGCTCGGATGGAGGCCTCCACGATGTGGGAGTTCCTCAGGTCCCCCACCCGGAACATGAGACAGAGTTTCCCATCCCGCATGGAGATCACTGCATGTGTGGAGAAGACCAGGGTCTCTGCCCTCTTCTTGGGTTGTGATATTTTTACAAACATGCATCCCACCATGAATGCATTGACAATGGATCCCAGCACAGACTGGATTAAGAGAAGGATAATTCCCTCGGGGCACTTATCCGTGATCACTCGGTAGCCGTAACCAATGGTGGTTTCCGTCTCTATGGAGAATAAAAAAGCAGAGACGAACCCATTGAGGTTGGTGACGCAAGGAGTCCACGAGGAGTCCTCTATGTGGTCCATGTCTCCTCGGATGTAGGCGATGAGCCACCAGATCATTCCGAAAAATAGCCACGTCACTGTGTAAACCATGACGAAGATGAGCAGGTTGAACCTCCACTTGAGGTCCACCAGGGTGGTGAAGATGTCGGTCAGGTAGCGGTAGGTCTCGCGCACGTTGCCGTGGTGCACGTTGCACTTCCCGTCTTTCCTCACGTACCTCTGGATTTTCCTTTTGGTTCGGTCCCGGCTGATGTGTCTTGGCAGGTCGTCCCTGGCCTGCTTAGGCAACTTTGGCTGGTGAATGGCCACGGGGCTCTCCACGTCCTGATCCATGGAGTCACCCTCCAGGACATTAGCTGGTGGTTTGGAGAGAAGAGAAGAAAAACAGGATGAAAGGCTGGTTCTTGGGGAACAACCAAACCGTACACTCTGTAAATAACAGGGAAACTCAATACCATGTGTACGGTTGTGAACAGGTGAACAGAGGCATGTTGACTGGCTGCCATCTGGATGGGCCCTGGGCTGACTTGCAGGGTCCTGCACCATGATCTAGCTTGTGCGGGTCCTTCCCACCCAGTGCCACAGGATGGGGCTCTCTGCTGTGACAATCTTTCCCCCCTGACAGCAGCTTCCACTGATTCAGCTCTGCTGGCGGATGTCTGTCCCCTCTCTGAGATCTGGGTCATAGGAGAGGCAGCCAGTGTCTCAAAGAAGATCTCTTGGGGTTCCAGTGGGCTTGGCTCTTGGACCTGCTGCCTTGAGCTGACCCACATCCCTCACCCACAGGTTAGAGATACAGCCTCCAATGTGATTGTGTTTGGAGATGCAAACTTCTAGGGAGATAGCTGCAGGTTGGAAGCGTGGGCCCCTAATCTAGAGGATGCGTGTACTTATAAGAGGAAAAAGAGACACAGGTACTTGAGGTCATGTGAGACACCATGAGACGACAGCCAAGTCAAGAGGAAAGACTAGAAGCCAGTCCTCTGGGACTTTAGCCTCCAGAACTGAACCAAAAAAATAAATGTCTGCTACGTAAGCCACCCAGTGCATGGAAGTCATTTACCAAAGGCTCATGAGCCCACTCCCAAGGCTGTTGTGAGGTTAGACGAACCGCACATATGAGATGTGCTTGTGTTAAACAGATATGCAATAAATACCTTTGGAAAGAAATTGTCCCTTTATTTTCATTTTTAGGGTAAGCACTTTGAGCCAGCTTTTTCCATCATTGGTTAGGGCTTGGACATTTTCTAGTTTTTGCTGGGAAATACGCATGCATGCACTGTACTTAACGGTTGATTCAATGCCAAGTTAAAAAAACGGGTAAAGAAATGGAGAAATGTGCTTCTTGCTTTGTATGTTCACACCCTTGGTTTGGTTTCTGCCTCAGCATTTAGCGCCTGCAATTTGGTGCATTTTCTTTCTGATGGTCACTGAGATAAATGCTTCCCCATAATCGTTAGCAGGGCATTAGGAAATCTCTCTTAGCATCGAGAACAAAGGGAATTTTGGGACTGTGCTACTAAATGTGCATAAGCCAGTGTATGAAATGACTTGTTTAGCCAGTAATTTTAGGGCTTCTAAAAGTTTCATAAGCAGCTCCTTCCCCCACGCTCTCACTCCAGCTTCTCTGCCTGGGCTCTGCGTTACCTCTGCAGTGACTGTGTTTTTTCTTGGATAAAGGGGTAGGGAGGTCTGGAGAGAAGGCACAGTGCAGACAAATGGCCAGGAATGGGACTAGGGCGGTTAGTCACCTTGCAGATCATTGGCATAGGCCTGGTTTTTGTTTGTTTGTTTGTTTGCACCCAAGAGTCAGAAGGCATCTGGGCTGCAGGGTCTGTGGTGTGGTTCGATTGCCTTGACTTTTAGATCATCGCCTTCAACATATATAAATGGACACATCCTTAGAAGCCATGTCCAGGCAGGAGTGGGAGAGAGCGGGGAGGGCTAGAGGCAGGTGGGGTGTGCAGATGGAGGGTCCCGTGGTTACAGGCAGCTGAGTTAGAAATGTTCCAGGCAGAGCAGACAGGGCTGTGCCCTCAAAGGAGCCAGTGCAGAAGACCAGATACCTGGCAACCTCGGAGGAGACAGACACCTCTGCTGTGGGGCCAGATCTCAAGACAAAAGGCAAAACAAATGCAACCACACCCTAAGGATAAACCTCAGGGACTGATATTCCAGACAGGTACGAATCACCTTGAGGAAGCCAGGAGTCACCATCCCAACCCCTACAGGCATGGTCTTTAAGTATGCCCACTTGCTATGTGACTTGGTGTCCACTGTGTCCCTGATTTGGTCATTAATCTGTCCCTGAATCATTAATCTTATTGATTGACCATAGTTCTGTCCCACCTCAGACCTGCCTTGTGAGTTTCTGTTTTCCCCATCTTGGACCCATCTCAGCTTGTGGTTTTGCTCTATAAAAGTTCCTAGAAAAGACAGAATCCTTAGGGCCTGGCAAGTGTGAGGTCATGAGTTCGATCCCCAGTACCACACACACACAAAACAAAACAAAACAAACCCCCAGAATCTTTGGTAACCTTCTTTGGACCCCTTCTGTCTGTCTCTCAGATGGAAACTTTCTTTCTCTCAATAAATATATTCTGCTCTTAACCTCCATTGTTCTTAAAATTCATCCTTCAATTTTAGAGAACATGAACTCGTACCGGACATCCAGCAGATAGGGAGTTTCCTCCCCCTATGTCACTATTCCTGCCCACCACCAGCACCTCTATGTGGAGAGATTTTTTTGATCCTGCATCGCCACATCCACACTCTCACTCCTAATTCTGTGCTAAATGGTTTCTTTCTTTTTTTTTTTTATCGGTACTGGGGATCAAACTTACGACCACACACTTGCAAGGCAGGTGCTTACATCGCTGAGCTAAATCCCCAGCCCCCTAAATGGTTTCTAAACAATTGTCCTTGTGCAGGGACTACTGGGGCCCAGCTCTGTGAGACTGGGGAGGCCTCCTCTGCAGAGCCCGAGGGGCCCTACAGGCCGGAAGCGTTCCTGGCCTACAGGAACAAAGCCACCCTGAGCTCTGTCTTCTCTGATTCCTTCAGAATGTTTATTAGATTAACTGCTGCTTAACAGCTTCACTGCTATTTCCTGTTTTAAAGATGTTAGGGAAGAGATCTTGCCTCTGTTTCCCCTCTACCCACGGTGTTGAGGTGCTTTTCTCTCCTCTGGTTCAGCTGCAAACTTGGAGCTGTAGGCGTCTGGCTGGACTGGAGGAGATGAGGGGTGGTCACTCACTGGGCAGCCTGGGGGCACTGTCTGCAGGTGGCCCAGCACTATTCTGTGCATGCATGTGTGTGCACATGTGTGTTGACCGTGTCCTATCCTCTGCGCTCTGCCTGACTCCTGGCCCCCCTGGAGAGGGACAGGCCTTTCTGCTCTGCTCTGACTGTGCCTCCTCTGTCTTCTCTGTTGCTTGCTGTGGAGGATGCTGGGATCCAGAGGTGAAGAACCTGGATCCTCAGTCAGAGCTGGAGACCTGCTCTGTCTAGCAGCCAGGGCTGGCTGAGGAGGGCCAGGCAGAGACTGGGGAGAAAGCACAGGAGAGGAGGGAATGGCGGAGCGGAGGAGGCTGGCGCTGGAGATGCGCAGAGGCGGCTGGGTGCGAGGGCTGGGGTGCGGCCATGGCGGAATGGGTGCAGTGCCTCCTGGCTGGGCCGGGTATCAGCAGGAGCAGGGGCCAGGAGAAAGGGCCACGGCAGGTCCCAGGCAGGAGCAGCCTCCACTGCCCACCTGTCCACACGCAGAAATGTGTGGGGGCGGGGTAGGCAAGGGGGTGCTTTCTTGTCCATAGTTCTTGTTTTCTTGGAGCCCAGGTGTGGACTGGAGCAGTGCCTTGGCCGACTGCGACTGGAAAGGGAAGGCAGACATTTCCCCAAACAGCCCTACGTGGGCCACAGCTGAGGACAGTTCCTTTTATTTTGCCTTTTTGAGACAATGTCTAGCTGGGTAGTTCAGACTGGTCTTGAACTCACTGATAACCCAGGCTGGCTTTGAACTCACAGTGATTCTCCTGCCTCAGCCTCCTGAGCACTGGGACTTCAGCACCACCTTGCCTGGCCAACTGGGGACTATTTCTTACCACTTGCCTGACCCTCAGCTGCCACGTGCACTGGCCACATGGCCACTGTCAGCTGGTTACAGGTGTCTTCAGCATCCTGCAGGGAGTCTGATGACAGAGAAAGGAGAAGAGGGGACGCGCTCTGCTAACGGGAATTGCTGGGTGGGTGTGCAGAGGGCCGAGAGGAACGGGGCCCCGAGTTGGGGTGACTGATTGGACTTGTGAGTTGCTGCTCTAGATTTTGGCTCGGAGTCAGTGGAGGCCTACGAAGAAGGCCAAGATTTTAAATTTCTTCCCGTCCCTCTCTTGGGCTTTTCTCTTTTTTGATTCCATCTCTCTGTTAGGAGGCTGATGTATTTAGACAGCCTAGTGTGGAAATCTGACCCGAAGGAACCAACAGTGCCACAGCCCCGGGCCGCAACGGGCCTGGTTCCCCAGATCAGTGGAACTGTGACACGGTCACCTTTGAGGTGAGGGCTTGTTGCAGGGACAGCATCTCAGAACCCCTGGGCATGTCGAGTTCTCCTCCCCAAAAAGCCCGACACCCAACCTGTTTGTGTATGGATTCCTTGGATTCCTCGGGAGAAACATCTGGAAGCCCAGAGAGGCTCAGGTAATACTTATAGATGTTTTCGCATCAAGTGGAAGAACTGAGAGAAGTGTGACAGACTGTAAAGGTAAGGGAATGTAGGTGCTTGGAGGCAGGAAGGGGACCGGATGGGAGCGGGGAGGGCTAAGTGGAGGGGCGGGCTAAGTGGAGGGGCGGGCTTCAGCTGCTCTGCCACACATCCTCAGTTTCCCAAGTTTTCTGAGTCATTGATGATTGGTCTCTAATCAGAAGGAGGAGGAGAGGAGGGGGAGGAAAAGCAAAACAAAACCAGAGAGAGATTTTCAGGCGACACACCTTCTGATGTCTGATTTAAAGTCACACCAAAAGCTAAGTAAAGTACATGATGACCTGAAGGCGTCTCATCCGTAGGCCTGGCAGGTTAAAAACAGATGCTTGCTTGCCCTGAGTCCAGGAAAGTCGTTAATAAACCTGCAGGGTCCTTGTCTAGAGTGTGACCAAGGAGAGGTGGAAACAGCACCCGTGTGTGGCCGCTGAGGGCAGCGCCCACAGGACACTGTGAGGTGCTGGCCCTGTGACAGGCTGGCTGGACCTGGATACAGAGGGAGTCAGGCAGCCCGGGGCGCAAGGGGCTGCACAGGGAACTACGGGAAGGGGACAGACGCGCCCTCCCTGTGGCGCTGAGTTCAGTTTCCTTGGTCCTGACAGA